TATCAGTTTACGTGCACCATTATTTATTAATACTTAAAACGCAAAATAATAAACGTATTTAATTTAAACATAGCCATTTTTTTTTATATAATTAAAATTATTCTATATATTGTTTGGTGAAATCATTTATGAATATATAGATATATGTATGTAATATAAAATGTGATATAAAATAAAATAAACAAAAAAATAAAATTCCTAGACAATATGTTGTTTTCTTTGGGTTAATTTTATCATTGTAATCAATATTTCGTATTATTCTGTATTTTTTTTTTTTTTTTTTTTATCTCTATTCATTTCCCTTTCATTATACAAATCGAATTCCCAAATAGTAAACATTCATATTGCCTAGCAATGTTAAACGATATTTTTATAAATCTTGTAATCATTGTATTGTATTAAAAAATTTTAATCAATTAAGAAAATCATCTGTTAAGTATAGTAAATTTGGTCAAAATAGCGATGTCACAATGATATTAAAAAAAAAAAAAAAAAAAAATTATTGATTGATTTCAAGTTTTAAATTGACTTTTTAACTTAACTTTGATACTAATTTAATTTATTCATTATTTGTTATTATTAAAACTTACTATTACTAAATTTTATTTAATCCTTGAAATACCATCACCTTAATATTTTAATTTGTCAATTTACTTGAAACTTTGCATTTTCGTTATATCAACCAAAACTACTATACCTCTTTCAAACTCGTTAAAGAAACTCGCAAAACAAAAACGAAATAAAATATCGAAATAAAATAGAACGTATAAAATAGAATATCAAAATGAACCGGTTGAAATGATATAATTCGTGGATGTATACACCACGATACATTTCGATCTACATCTAGATAAATTATAGAAAACTGGTGGATACTTATATAGTTTTCAGATATGTATAACGCTTTCTATTAGTTTGTATCAATACCATGAACAAACAATTCAACGAACAGTGCTTAAACTTTATTGTCCTTATGCAAATTCCCAAAGTGTTCGCGTAGTTGTTCGCATATATTTATCGCGATTACTATGAAAATTTTCTCTCTCTTTCTCTCTCTCCCTCTCTCTCTTTTTTTTCTCTCTCTCTCTTAAATACAATCAGTGAACATTTTTCCATATTTGATAAACTATATGGTTCTAGTAACGATACAAACTTGCATATTTTAATATCGATTTCTATCGCCCGCTATTGGAATATAAATGTGAAAGAACGAATTGGTGATCAAATAGCGCAAAAATATATTGCTATAAGAAGATGATGATTAACAGGAACATGAATATTTTTATAATCAACTGCATTGAAAAAATATCATAAGGCGATGCTTCAGCGAAATCGATATTATCGTCAGTCATTTCACATTTCCAGTCAGCATACACGGAATGACCGATTTTAAATTTTATAAATTTATCTAAGAAAATTATGCTAAGTTGGAAATGGAAAAAAATGACATAAATGACATAAATATATTCTTGAAGGATTTTAAATCTTTTTGAGTTACACTAAATTATTTTTATATAAGAATAATGTATCTAAAGCTAACTATTTTTTTAAATTTTCTGATTTTAATATCAGAATACGTGATTAATGTTCTTCAGATGTGGTTTTTTTTTTAATCAATCTCGTTCCGATTGATCTTTTATATGATTTATTTATATAACAAATAGTCAAATTATAAATTGAACATATTTATTTCCAACTCAACATATTTCGTGAATAAATAATTTCTTTAAAATAAGTCATTCTGTATAAAACAAATGATTTGTATAATCATTCGGTGAAAATCTTTCCAATGGATTCTCTATTATTTCACCTATTATTAATCAATTCAATAAAATTTAGAAAATTTTACAGTATATCCAGTTTAAAGTCTATGAAATAATTGATTATAATAATTGAAATTTTTTATTATAATTAATAATAAACATTTCAAAATTATTTTTATTTATTATATTTTAATAAAGAAAAGTAAGTTAAAAGATAAATTATAGATTATTGATTAAATATTTCTATATTCAATTATACTTTTAAAGTTTAATTTAAAAAATTATTATATTTTATAATTTTGTTTTTTTTTCTTTTCAAAATTTCATAATTATTCCATACTTTTGAATTACATAAAAATATATAAAAGATCTGAATGAAATTTAATTAAATTATTTAATTATTTAAATAATAAATAAAAAATATATTTAATTAACTGGAAATGCTGTTTCAAACTTCTTAAACAAATATTAAATTCGAGTATTCAACTATTAATTATAACAAGAAAAATTTCTTCATATAGATAACGATTGTTGAGAAATTTATAGCATATATATGAGAAAAATATGTAATTTGCTCATCAAGATTCAATGGTATCAAAATGCTTTTATTAATTTTGTTATTTTATTTTTCTTATTATATTTCAATTCATATTTCTCAAAAAACTTCAATTTTCTATATGCAGTATATCTATTAAGAAGAATTATGTTAAACATATATTAGCTATAAATATATTATAATATATATACATATATATTATATATATACATATATAATATAATATACATATATTAGCTTTAACTGAAAAATTTTATAGCAATGCAATTAAATTCTTTTCTAATCATAATTTTTTTTAATAATCATTCGAGACAATAATTCTTATAAAATAAAATTTTTCAAATTTTAATTATTTTCTAAATATTTTCATATATTTTTTCAAATATTACTTCTTTATTTTTTTTCAATTTGCTTTCATTTAAATTATAGAATTATTTTTAAACAGTATATTTTTTTAATGCCAAAATCAAATTCATTGATTATTATTTATAGTAACTATAAAACACAATTGTCACAATTTCACTATTAATAAAAAAATTAATAGAGCACAATAATTTTTTTTAAATACGTCAATTTAAAAAGTAATTAAATGCAAATGAAAATTTAAGAAGCACCTCGCGAAGAATACACTAATACATCTATAACTATAATATTATTGAATAATCATTAATTATTTAACCCTTTATATAGTATAAATAATTTAATAAGAGTCATCCATGAAAAAAAGATATAACAGTTTATATAATGATTGAATTCTTTAAATATTGTATACAAAAAAATTTGAAAAATATTTCAATCTTTTTACAACTATATATAAATCATATTTATTTATTTATTATTGCTTATATTCTAATATATATATATATATATTAGAATGGAAAAAATACACAAACAGTATTTGTAATTCACAATTAATTTAAGAATTAAACAATGTATAATTCAAATAATATAATTATAAATTTACTTGAAAGCAATTATTTGATAATATCATCTTCTTTGTAAATACTATTAAAAACGAAAAGGAAATATAATAAAAATAAATAGAATCATTTTAAAATAAATAGAATCATTTCAAAATAAATAAAATATAAAGGGTTAAATAATATATGAACTTAAAAAAACATGTATATATATCTATATAATATATAATTATAAATATAGTATAGTACTGCTAATATTTTAATAAAGAGAAACAATTTGTTTATTTTTTAACATGTATAGAATAACTAGATTTCAATGATTTTTCAAACAGTGATTATAACTTTTTATATGTAATTACATTTAAATAAAATTTTATAATAAAAACATGATTTTAATTAAAACATAATTTAAATTTATCTTTGCAGTACCATACATTTAAATCTAATTGATAAAGCTTATTGTAAATAGAATTCTGGAATGTTGAAGCAGTGTTGTAAGAATACACCACTTACATTAAACTGGATATATTGTTTAGAAAATATTATCCCAGACCATGATCTTCAAAAAAACCTTGTGGAGTTTCCTCCTGAAACATAGAAATAATATTATTAAATTAAAGATCTAAACAAAAGAAATATCTAAAGGATATGAAGAGGGATCAATTTCTTTGATGCTGCACACTATCAATAACGCAAATATACAATAATGAAAATATAAACAAACACGTACCTAGTTCGTAATTAAGTAATCTCCTTGATGCAGCTTCAAATGATGAACTGAACCCTTTTCATATAACTGAGTATATACTTGTATGGATACACAAAGCTGCACAAAGCACATATTCATTTATTGCTTCGTTTAAAATGCTTAAGCATCAATCAAAGAAATGTCTGTATTGCATGCTGCATACAGAATGTCTCTGCATTTACAATTAAGTAGAAATTATAAATTTGATAAAATTTAATGCACAAGAAATCTTTCTAACAAACAATGAATAAATTAAAATTCTAACATATTTATTTTATATAGAAATAATCATAAATATATTATTCAAACCTGAAAGAATGTAAATACAATAAAAATAAATATATACATATTGAGTTAATTACATGGAAAAGGAAATATATAATGTTGTATACAATTGTATAAAAATTGCTTTGCATGTATTTATTGCATGTATTTATTACCATTATTATTAATGTGTTAAAGTTATAATATTAAAAATTGACATTGTTTATATATATACACATGTACACATATAAAAGTGATATTTTTAAACATTCATCTCTAATTAAATACTAAAATAAATTATATATATATATTTAGATAAATATAATACTATATCACATGTATGTAAGAGAAAAACTCTTTATGCAATTAAAAAATAATATAAACATTATTGAAATATTTTTCATCTTCATATATAAAAAAATGATGACTTTCTAAATATGCATTATTTTATTGCCATAGTATGAGACTAACTATATTATTTGCTATTATCTGTTCAATGATAAAATGAAAAGCAATCTTATAATAAAAAAAAATTCTATAATATATATAATATAAATATTATATTAATGTATAATAAATATATTATATATATTATAATAAATATAATATAAATATTATATTAATGTATAATATATATAAAGCTTATATATATATGAAATAAATATATATATTATAGTTTTATGTGTAGTATATATATATATATATATATATATATACACGATACATAATAAACTATATGAACTATTACATCTAATTATATTATAGCACTCGTCTATAAAAAATATACTAATATTCAAATATTAAATTTATAAGGATTTTTAGTGGTATGTAAAAAATTTATGTTCAATAACTATAGAAAAAGTAGAGATGTATGATGGCATCATGCAGTGGATGAGTTTGCTCCAGTTCTTGATTCATGTAGGTTGACAGATTGGCCATGGAGGGCATGCAAGAACGCAGCACCTATAAAAGCCCTATCTCCCGCAGGGCACCTTCCACAGCTTCATCCTTCCACAAAAAAACAAATATTCTAACTAATCTTTAGTGTATTTCTACATGTGTCCTTAGTAATGGAATAATGATCTTGAGCTAAATTTTATTACTATTATTAAATTTATCTTATAAAATATACAATGTATAAAATATATTACAAAATATACTAAAAATCAAAAAATAAAATTAAAATCTTTTTTATATACAATACTTTATTATATTATTTTTTAATTAATAATTCAAATGTATCTCAAATGCAACAAAATTATAATAAATAGTATATTGATAGACTAAACATGAATTTTAATATTATTTACTATAATTTTTATATTTTTTATTTTCATTATAGTTTATCTTTCTATTTAAATTGATAATATAAAATCAACTTGGTAATAAACCAGTCTCTTTCTAGTACAATATGAAATATTTTCATTACACACTAGTTTCTTAAAAATATTAAATTACTATTATATTTTATGATATTATATAGAAATTTTAATTAATTTGAATATAATCTTTTTCTAATCAACATTTAAAAACTTTATGACACAATTGATAAAGCTAATAAATAAAGAACATACTATTTTTTATTATAAAAATTTCTGTTAATACATCACAAAATATAATATTTATACTTTGTGTAAAGATTACAATTATACTTTAAATTTAGAAAAACATTTGTACATAATAATATTATATAAATATAATTATCATATATATTATATATCATCTTTTATACAATAAAATAAAATCACAATATAATTCAAAATCTTGTGCAAAAATGTCAATTATTAATACTAATCAATTTATTCATATATATATATATATATATATATATATTATTCAAATAAAATATAGCTATGAATTATCTTATATATGAATGCTATAAAAAAGATCTATAAAAATAAACGTACAAGCATACTTCCGCATTGTAGGAACTTATAATGAATACCATTCATGGTATCATATAGATCACAAACAATATCATTACATAAAATCATTAATATGATTGACCACGCTTTAATTTATTACAATTTCAAAATATATACATACATTTCAATAACTACTTATGAACAACAGCATTTCCATAGCATTATATTCTTTATAATTATTTCTATGAAAAATAAACAATTAAATTACAATATAACTTTTACAATATAATAAAATAAAAAAAATCGAAATTAATATAATATTTATTATATTATATTATATTATATTATTTAATGAATTCATAGCATAAAAAAAATAATAAAATACCAATTTGTTCAATATAAAATAAAATTTTTAAAAATTAAATATATATTGTTTTGTATAATTATCTTACAACTTACAAAAAGAATATAAAATTTTGAACAAATAATTTAAAAGACTTTTTTGTGTAATGAAAATGTGATCTTTAAAATTTGTTAGAAAAAGTACTGTTTAAACAATATTATTTTAAAAATATTTTTTTATAAAATTTCTGGTTATGGTATTTAATATTGTAACATTTTGAAGATCTTATTTTAATATAAAAAAAAAACATTTATTTTGTTGAATAAACTGAATTTTTATTCTTATTATGAATTAATTTTAAAAAAATTGCAAATTATAGCAAAATATTTTATAATCTTAAATATCAAAAAATGTAGAAAAAAAATCAATTACATTTAAAATTCGAATTTTTTTCATTTTATCAATTATTTTATTTTCATTAATATTAAAAATTTTACATTTAAAAAATTTTTTATATATCTTATCTTTTACATAATTATTTAAAAATCTTTAATAATTATAAATACAATAAAATACATAATTTACTTTTATCATATTTAATTATATTTTTTTATTCCTTTAATTATAGCATAAATAAAATAATAATCTGTAAAATATTAAAGATATTAAAGATAAAAATTTTTAAAAATAATATTAATATTTTTAAATTTTCATGTTTATAGAGATTATATTTTTATATTTACAAAATGCAATATATAAACTATATGTCTTTGAATAAACTTTAAATAAAATATTGTTGTAATATTGTAATATTGTTATAATAATTATTATATTATATTTTCTTCTATATATTTTCTTCTATATTAAGAAAAAAAAATAATAAATGATAATAAATTTTTATTATTTCTGTATGAAAAAGTATTTCTAACATGAAAAAAAAACTTTAAATATGATTAATTAATTAAATATGATAGTAAAATGTCTTATTAATATTTTCATAATATTACCTATTAATTACATTGTAATTATATATAATTATATTATAATGTATAATTATAAAATATTTAAAAAAATTATAAGTTTATTTATCTAATATAAATTGATTTTTATAATAATAATTAATTTTTTAAATAGTGTAATTAATTTACTTGAATTTAGAAAGTATTATTATAAAAAAATATTTAAAATAAAAATAATATTATATTATTGTTAATTTTGCAAAATATATTAAATATAATGTTCTATTAAATACAAAAAGAATATAAAATACAATGTAATTGATACAAAATAATATGGCAACAATATTGCATAACATTAATTTCATTGCTATAGATATGCTGTTGCGTACATTATAAATAAAAATTTACAAAACGTATAAGCCCACTTATATTAATAAGAAAATAAGCGTATAAGCATTCTATACACACAGCATTAGCTACAAAGAAAATAAAGAGTTACAATATTTTTAAATATGAAATATATTACATTTATCTATATGAAAAATTTATTTTACTTCATATTATTAGAAAAAATGAGCAGACACTTTTTATATTTTCCTGATTTTATAATATATATACTATATAACTATAATTATTTTATGACACATTATATTCAAAAAAAATGAATCATATTTATGATTCATAATAATAAAAAATATTGCCAATGATTGTTTGTACAAATTAACCATAATAAAATTTTTAATATAAAATTTTGTACAAAGCATAACAATAATTACATATTACAAAAATACAATTAATACAACATACATTAAACATTAATAAAAAATTTCAAATATTTTGTGATAAACTACATAGAAGAATAGAACTATTTTCAAATTGTAAAAATATATAATATATGTAGCATATGAAATATATGGAAACATGAAAAAAATATCAAATAAAAAAAAAAAAATAACAACACATGAATCAAAAAAATTACATTCCATCATGCAATTTAAATATTATACTGTTAATAAACATTAACATATCATTACAACCCAGTTCCTCCAGGTATTAAAACAATATGGTAAATATTTTCATATTAAAAACTATTGTTTCATATCTTTAATTTTTTTCTTAATTTCATTTTTTTTAATCCTAATATTATAATATTTTATATATAATATATTATATTATATATATATATATAAATCATATATTTAATATCTTATATATATATATATCTTAATATAAATGTATACATATATATATATATATATTTCATCCATTATATATACCATATTATTTTACCCAGAGTAAATAGGCTACAAACATGCTCCACATATACATCAGCCAAAAGTTCTAGTATCTTTTATAAGTACCTCTTAATCAAAATGAAATTTGATTATTTTAATAAGAATGTTACACACCAACTATTGATGGTTAAATATAATGTAAGAATCGTTTTAACAAATTTGCAGGTACTAATATAATAATGGATATTAATAGATAAAATATAATAAAAATTATGTTAATTTTCTTAAAACCAAAAAAAAATAAAGGTATATATAATAAAAGTATATCATCATAGTCATTAACAAAATGTATATGTTAAAACGATTCTCTAATATTACTAGAAAATAACAGAAAAAAATTATAATATCATTAAAAAGAACAAATCACAACTCAATGGGTACATCCCCATAACTAACCTCCTGTAGTAAATCCTGAGCTGCGATGGCTTTTAGGACATTTTTTTTGCTAGTTTCTTGAATTTCACCACCAACCAATAATTCATCTAAGATGAAGTATGCTTTCTCAAAATTGAAAATTATATCTAATTCACAAACCTATTGACATATTTATTAATATTAAAAATACTAATTAACTATTATATAAAATAAAATAAAAACATTGATATTATTTTATTTACAAAGTTCTAATTAAAAATTAAAAATATAATGTAATTTTTAAACTCATATTTTCATAGATTACATTCATTAATAAATCTAATAAATGTATGTGTCTAATAAAAGTATGTAAATTTTAAAAAAATATAATAATAAATAAATAACTAAATTCATACTTACACTTCCAAAATATTTATCTAATAATTCAACATAACGATGTATAATTTCTAATGTTAATAGTTCATTATCATTTTGTTCTATTGCACAACAGAAATATAAACTAGCATATCTGTGAAACAAAATGATTTACTATTTAAAATAATTTATCATTCAAATAATATATATATAATATATGTTTTATCAGCTAATAGAAATTTTTTACATAATTATAATATACCTTTTATAGACAACCTTAACATCTTTCCATTCTAAAAAACTTGACATTTTTGGTTTTCGTGCCAATATTGTAGTAATTAATTCTCGTGTAATTTTTTTCTTTAATTTATCAGGATGAGCCACATACCATTTTTGTAAACGTAATTTTCCTTGACGGCTGAATAATAGCATAAATTGCATCTAAAAAATGGAGTACTTTTATACAAGTAAATTTAATATTATTTAAAATGCTATTAATAATATATATATATATATATTATTTAATTTTGACAATAGAATTAATAACAGTTATCTACCATCTTTAAACGAATTTTTTTCTATAAAAGGATTATAAAATTAATCACAGCACTTTTCGATAAATCACAATAAAAAAAATTTATTCCAATTTTAATATGAGTAATTCTGTTCACATTTAATCATACATTTTTAAGAGATGGCGCAAGTATCAGTGAAATTATATCTTGAATTATTAAATTGAATAACTTCGATCTAAAAGAATCTAATCTTAAAGAAAAACATATCTTTTAAGTATTATAAGAAAAAACAATTATATAATATAAAGTGTATTAAAATGTATAAAAAAAATAATATTAAAATACATATAATTTTATGTACATAAAAAATGATATAACAGAGTTATATAAGGAGTAAAGAATAAATTTATCATCAGAGACTGCGTATAGTTTATCTTTATCTCATCTATGACATTAAATCTGTTGATTTTATATATTTCTATATTTTATATTGTTATTTGAACATAAACAAAAAACAAAGCATAAAAATATAAACATGACACATAATGCTTTTCTTATTATGAAATTTAAAATCATATGAAATAGAATCATCTTCCTCTATCCCTGTCTCATTTTAACTAATGTAAACTTAAATCGCACATAATTTAATAAAATAATTGATATTTTTGTATGTATGTAATAATTTTTTTTCATTAAAATTGATTTCATTATCAAAAAGTTTCATTTTTCTGAAAACGGTCTTGATTATAATAATTTTATTTTATCTCTGTCCTCCCATTATTTGTACTTTCTCTTGGCGCTCAGATTATAAATAAGATATGGTATCAATTAAACATTTTATTTTCTTTTTAATTATACAATATATTTAATGTTTAATGTAAAATAAATTATATTTCTATCATTAAATACAAGACAAAAAGGATTTACAATTAATACTATAATACAATAATTACATAATAAATTAATGGAATGAATATTTAATACATATTTTTAATATTTTTAAAGAAATATATTATAAATTATGAATTTTTATATTATAAAATAAAAAAATAAAATGCAATGAAATAAAAATAAGATATTATTAAATAATAAATCAAAAAAATATAAATTATAAACATAATTATATTCTAAAATTTTTTTATTTATTAAATAATACATAATATGAGTCATATTTGATGATTACTATGTCTTATTAAAATTTTTCCATAACTGACGTTTTAAATAAGATATACGTCTTTCAAGTTTATCTTCCATACCAAAATATTGGTAAGATATACACAATACTTTATATTTTTTACATTTTAACAAATGAGAATATAATTTAATTAAACCATTATAATTTAAATCTTCCAAACACATATCATAATAATCAAGTAATATTAAAGCTATCCTGAAAATTAAATATATATTAGTTATTATAATGTTCTTATAATAAAATTTATAATCATCTAATTTTAAATTATTCTTTTCATACTTAATGAAATTTTCATCTTGATTAACATTATCCACAGGAATAAAATTAAGGTTTAAATCTATACATAATTCAGCATCTGTAATATCATATTATTTAAATATAATATATTATTTTTTAATAAATATAAATATTTTTATAAATACCTAAAACAAATCCCATTTTGGTATTTATATTCATCTTATAATAAGATGCAGATGGTAACATATTTTGTAATGTTGTTTCAAGTACATCAACATATGCTTTCTTTTGTTTTGAACGTATATTTACAATATCTGGTACAATTTCTTTATTAAGAAAGGGTCCTAAAACATATTTATTGAAATTTAATATTTTTTTATTATGTTGTATCTTCAAATAATTTATATTTTTACTTACCAGAATAATCTTTGAGTGCATATTGTGCATATCCATTAATATTTAATAACTTTAACTGATGAGATAATTTATTTTTCTCATCTATAATAAATATTAACAACAATCAAATATAATCATAATATATACAATTATAATATATAATAATCATTCTAGTTATAAATATTAAAGATATAAGTAATACTAACCAATTAACATTAGTTTTGAAACAAATTCTTCATTTAATACATATTTAGCATGTGTGTTTTGTAATATTTTGAATACAGCAAAAGACCATATAAGATTTAATTTTATAGAATAATTAAATTTTTGATTTACAATTGAATCTGGTATATATATCTATATAAATATAATATTTATATAATACATATTATATAATAATAATATTATATTTCAATACATAATTTTTAATTTTAATTTCAATATATTTATAAAATATATATTTAAAAAAAAGTAAAAAATATATAAAGTTAAATATTTAAATGATAATTTGAAAATGCAATGCAAAAAATTAAGTAATTATAATTATCTTAGAATTTCTTATATTACATACCTTTATTAATTTATTTATATAATCAGAATAATAACCTAATATTGCAAATGAGTGTAAAATGTTTGCAATTTCCTTGATAGTATAATTAGTTTTAGAATTAATAATATCTTCACATATATAATTTAAAAATGTATCGTTTCTATATCTGATTTGTGCCATAGATTTTAATATAGAAACTGTAGTTTTTATTTTTGCAATTTTTTTATTCTGTATAAAATCCTTACAAATTTTTTTAAGTAATCTCTATAATAAATTTTAATTTATATTTTTAATCATTAATTTTTCATATAGAATATTAATATTAATATTAATTAATTAATATAATAATAAATTAAATATATATAATTCTCTCTTATGATCTTACCTCATCTGAATAAGATAATTTACTCATATTAAACATTAAATTTGAACATGCTCCTGGACTTAATACATTATGATATTCAATAATATTTTGAAAAAAAAAATTTAAAAGCTTTATATTTCTATCGCAATTACATGCTAATTTATTTATTTCCTATATCAAATCATAAATACATATATTTAAATTTATATGTGTAATATTAAAATACATAATAATATATGTTAAAATACGTAATAAATATGTAAAAATTAAAATATATTATTTCAGCTTTTTACCTTAATCATTTGAGATGTTGATAAGTCATTATAAGCTGATATATCATTGTTTTCAGTGTTAATATTCAAATCTTTTATTTCATTAATTTTTTCTTGTGTTTGTATTAAATTTTGTTTATATATAGAATTTAAATTATTTTTATCATTTTTAGTTGCCCATATTGTAATAGTTTTAAGAACATCCAAAATATCATCTTGAGACATTAAAGATGTTTTCATAATTTCAAATAGTTCATTTATATTTTGTGCTTGTTCAATTTTAGTAACAATTTCAGGTTTTATATTTAAATTATTGCATAATTTTATTTTTAATTTATTAAATTCCATATATTGTATATTATTCATTGTAACTTGTGATTTTATCTCTTTTACTTGATCATTATTAAGCTTTAATAAATTAACAATAAAATATTTTTATTAACAATAAAATATTTTATTATTGAAATATTTTTAAAAAATCTATTACATAAAATAAATTTATAGTCATATAATTTTATTTGAAAATATGAAATTTTACCTGAATGTTAACTTTAGATTCAGAAGCTACTGTAGTTGTATTTGTAGTCAATGTTGCATTTAATCGCCACAAAAATCGAGAAGTAAGTCTACTTGCAATAGTATAAACTGTTCCATTAAATTGCAACATTTTTACTGTAATATTAATTTATATAATTATGAAGAATAAAAACAATGACATATAGATTCATCACATACATACATTGATTTTATGAAAGATTTTTCTTAAGAACATTAAATAAGTTCTGACTTATATTATTTATTAAAGAGTAATTTTAAAAAATTACAAAAATTATTTTTTATAAATTATAAAAATCACACAAAATTTTTCATTATGAGGTTAAGTTTTAGTTCACTATAACCTTAATCATAGGTAAGAAAACTTCGTTATAGCGTCAACTTTCATTTTGTATTCAAGGATACAAAAATATAATTCATTTTATAATTTAATATATATTGTTGCTGTGTTAAATTTTTCTCACCTTAAAATACAATTAAAAAATCTATTTTATAAATTTATATTTACTACTTTTTTTTACTAGTACTAGATAAACGAATGATAATATAATAATGTAATAAATGTAATGAATGTATTTTCTAAATTAATAAACTAATAAACTAATTTGAAAAATTAGTTCTCATTATCAATTCCGTATATTTTATTTAAAAAAATTAATACAATATATGATAAAAAATAAAATTTATTATATATATAATATGTTTTATGTTATAATATTAATTAATTAGGTTTTTGTTTTTTTGTCTTTGTGATCAAAGTAGTGTTATATATTAATTATATACTAATTATTATTGTACAATAATTATTAAAAAATTCATATATTTTCTTAAAAAAGACTTATATCCAGATAATATTTTATCTATGACTATATTTTATTATTGAAAAGAAATAATCTAACCTATTTTGATTGTGATATATATGTCATAAAATAATAAATATGTATATGTAAAAAAAAAAATGTATGTATATAAATATATTTACTGTATATAAATTTTATTTTTATGATCTACATTCTATATTATTAAAATATTATCTTTTATAAATTTTGAATATTTAATAAAAAAATATATATATTTTTTAAATATTATCGTTTATATTCATATATTTTTTTTTAAATATAAATAGCTTTTAATATTTTTTTGTTCTAAATTTCATTATTTATAATTTGATTAGATTAATTTTAATTAATTTGATAAGATTAATATATATTATACATTAAAATATTTTTTATTTAATAATTATATTTATCAGTATTTATCAGTTTTTTTTATTAAATATATAAAATAAAAATATACTAATATTATAAAAATAAAAATATATTTAATTATATATTTAATATTATATATTTATTATATATATAATATATTATATATTTAATTTAAGAAAAATAATAAAAAAAAAATATGAAAACATAATTTGAGAAAAAAAAATATGCATCATATCTATTATGAAAAAATATATAATAATTATATATATATAAATATAACAAAATAATTTAGATAAAAAAAATATGTTTTTATCTGTTATTTCAATAGATTTTCTAATAATATTTCACAAGAAATTAAAACATTAGTAAGTAAATAAGAATATGTATATAAATATTTACTTATTTATTTATTATGAAAAAAATATTCTCAAATATATGTATAATACTTGTGATATAATATCAATTAATATTTTTTTTCATGATTTAGAAATATAACAAGATATAATATATAATTTTATTAAATATTTTTTTATTTTACTTTTCAATTCATTATTTTAATTTTGCAAATATTTATTCATTCTATATTACATTTAATATTTTGATAAAAGAATACATAATATCATATAATGTAATTTTAGAGATTATATTCACATATTTTTTTAAAAAAATAAAATCATCAAATTTTAAAAATAATTAATAATTAGGTTGAAATGATCATTAGCAAATATATAATATATAATATATAATATATATTATATTATATAATATATAATATATAAATATCTATATATGTAAATTATATAAAATTTCCAAGATTTTCTATTCTGAGTTATTCATCTTGGAAAAAAAACGCAAATAGATACTCTTATTTCTAATCCAAAAAAAAAAGGATAAGGATTTAAATGATAGATTAGCCTAATGTAATTAAAATATACAATGCCTATTATACAAATTATATTTTATAGTTATAAATTTGTATTTTATAGTTTTATAATATTTTATAGTTGGGATAAAACTTTTTAAAAATTAGATAATTCAATTTTCTATTTGTGTTCAATAGTCTAATTTTTTTGAATAATTTTAGAATAATTGAAGTATTAGTTATTTAGAGTATAATGAATATTTTTAATCTTCATTAAAAAAAACAAAGAAATAATAAATGAATATTATTTATGTGAAATATTTAAAATAACAATTATTTAAATGATATATCTTATTTGACTAAATATTATTTTAAAATATATATATACATATTTTAAAATAATTATACATTGGTTTATTTCAACAAATAAAATTATTTTTTTCAAATTACTACGTTAATTGATTATCAATTAAAATAATTTGTATTTGATTACATATTATTTGAAATAATAATTCATTAATTATTTTTTGAAATAATAATTTCTTAAATAATTTTCGATTCTATCAATTATCAACTACGTCAGAAATAAAAATTTTACTCATTGTTTCACGCACACAATTAAAAAAAGTTGTGAAATTGTTTTAATAAATGAAGTGAAATAAAAAATTATTTCGAAAAAGTTTTGATTTATTTGAAAAAAACAAAAATTACTTTTTATTTCTAAAGTAAAATTAGTAAAAAAATTAAAATTAAAATAATAATAACTGTTTTTTATTCTTATTTCAAATGAAATTTATTCAAGTTTAGAAAAAAATAATTAAATGTTAAATTCTATTATAAGAAAAAATATTGAACAAGCAAAATTAATTTCATTTGTTAACTTATTTATTTGAAGAAAATTTGAATTCGAAATTTATTCCAACAATATATTTTACATAATATATCAAATTCTTTATTATATTGTACAAGTTTTCCAGGAAAAATTTTCTTTAGTTTTTTTTTTCACTTTAAAAAGAAAAACTAACTAATAACCTCTACTTTTAATAATCGTTGAAAAAGAGAAAGGAAAAGAAAGAAACAAAATTTATATAACTTCCGTTTCGGAAAAGTAACTATATAATTTTTTACGTTTACGCATATCCTGAATCACATATTTGCGTATATAAATGAAGAATTTCAAAGTTGAAATCTCGAAAAGATGTGTGCGTCATTCGTGTTATGAACAACCAATACAAACAAATAGAAAATCATTTTCGCACGTGGGTATTCGTCGGCGGGAAAAGTAGGGAAGGCGATTTTCGATTCGACGAATCGGAACTGTCGTTCATTGGTGGCCGATCGTGCAAGCGCATGGCAATATTTAAAGCGACACGAACGTGGATCACGGGGACGTTTTCCATGAGCATTGACTGACAAACAGACAAGTTTCTGCCTGCTTTCCATCAACCAACAGTCTTTGCTCGGACATTTAACGGAAAGCAAGACGAGTGTTCCAGTCCATACTGTTGTGAAACGTGATCGCTATGGTTAACAGTATTAATTCTTTGTCGTTCTCTGGCATTGGTGAGTACAATGTTATATTACTTTTTATTATTTTATTTTTAATATTGCTAGATATTTTTTTCATTCATATATTTTTCTTCATAAGACATATGAAAGTAAAAATATGATATTAAAAAAAAATGTGAAATGTTCAATATTCAATATAATTCAATATAGTCTTTGAAGAAATTTTAATAATTTAAAAGTTGTAATTGTTAATTTCCATGTTTCCATTTTTTAATATTATAAAATGGATTTAGTTTTTCTTTTTCGAAATCTATATTAAGATGATTCTATGGTATTATCATAAATATTTAAAATGATGTTTCAATCAGAATTTAAAAGAATATAATTGAGATAATATTATTAATGTTGAATAAAAAATAATTTAAAATATATATGTATATATATATTTCGCGAAAGTAGTGGTTTCATTCATCAATTATATATTTCTTTTTTTCAACACATAACATTTGAAATGATATTTTTAGATTTAATTAGAACTTAGGAGTCATTTTCAATTCTAGTTTATATGTATTTTATTGGAGCTAAGCCAATATATTCGTAACGTATTGTAAGAAATATCAAAATCAAAACAAAAAATTATGTAGAAGTTGTTTTGAAGAATAACTTTTTGAAATATTTTTTTTTTTGTAAAAATTAATATGAAATTTACTTTATAAATAACAATTTTTCTTCATATATAAAAAGTATTTTTATTTATTTTTCGAATGAAAATAATCATATTAATAATATTGAGACCATTGATTGAAAAATTAATATTATTTGTAAGATGTTGAAAATCTAAACATTTATAGGATTTCACCATGTTTATTTACATTTAAAGTATCAATTAATTTGAATATGCCATATATTTGAAAATTTCAAATCATTATAGGGTAAATGTGATTATTTTTGTATTCAAAATTTGCAATATCATCAAATTTAATTATATAAATCGAATAGTTCGTTCAAAAAAATATTTATTATCTGTAACTCTTTCAAGTAACATGAAGGTATAAAGATATTAAAAATGGACCAAGTAATAATAATGTATATCCAATTGAAGAAAGAAAATTACTTAAAGCATGTAAAAACATTTACAATTAATTTTATCTTTTCATTTAATAAAAATAATATACTCATTAATAAATAATGAAATAAAGATCTTATCTAGAAATAACATAATGGTATATCAAAAAGTTTCATTAAACATATTGACGAGAAGTTCCCATTAAACATATATCGATATTAAAATTTTATTGTTCTTGTGATATGATTTATAAATTGCATAAGATTACTTACAAAATTGTTTCATCAAGAGGTCTGTAATTTTTTTTTTTTTTTTTTTTGATAAAGAATAAATTTTGATTGACCTAATTTTATTTAATTTTATTGATGCATTCGAAATTGCCAAACGTCTCTCGATCAAAAAGTTGTGTCTCAGCGAATTCACCCAATAATAACGAAAAATATGTGTGAACGTGCTTTTTAAAAATATAGTGTCCTTTTACGTCAATTTCTCTTCATGCATATTATTATTAAACAGTAGAATGATAATCGAATTAAAAAACAATCATATTAGATGTATTGTATCTTGTGATATACCTGGTTTTCTACGTCAATGATTCAATTGTCATTTTTCTACGTCAACGACATTTTCGTACGTGTTTCGTTGATGGAAATATTATCAGAATCGTGCAAGTTTATTGACTGTTACATTACATTAAATTATAATGGCAAAAATTATAATTATTTTAATAAATTTATATATATTTTTATAATTCACTTTTATCGTTCTGTAAAGAAACTGTGAAATAATTTATCATAAAATTGAATTTT